TGTAGGTTTCTAAAGGGAAAAAACCCCTAAACTAGAGGGGAAACCCATAAAGAACCCACAATTGGCTCATCGGGTTGGAAAAACCAGGATGATGGGCAAACTTCACTCCCTGCAGGACGGGGCCCACGGGTGTGGCCACCCCGATTTATGGCACAGCAGCAGCCACGCCACACGGCCTGACAAAGTGAGCGGTGCGCTCTTGGGAGAAATTCTGGTGTCTGATTTCAGATCAGTGTACTTTTCATAGACTTCCTACTAATCAATACTAACCTCATGGACTGCTTTGGTCTGTTGCTAACCTGGACAGCTCTAGGTGACCTAGAGACCAGGCTGTGAGTGAACAGACGTGTTGGATAAATTACTAGATGCTTTAAAAAATGTAGGTTTAGAGCAGTGGTCTCCAGAGAGAGTTTGCTCCCAGAGGTCACCTGCTGACATCTGGAGACATCTTTGACTGTGGGGCTCGGGGTGCTCCTGGCCTGGAAACAGGGAGGCAGGGGTGCTGCCCAACAACATAGGACACCCCTCCCCCAACCCAGCATTACTCAGCCCCAGTGCCACAGCTTTGAGCTTAGGGGAGAAGCGTCCTGTGGCCTGGTCGTCTGCAATGCTGACATGTGCACACACAGACCACATCAGGTGAGGAACTGCTTCCCTGCCCAACCACACAGCAGCAGAGGCAACGGCGTGCACAGCTTGTCCCCTGACACCTGGTCAGACACCCCCACACCCTGCCGTGCTCTGAGTTTTCTAGTACTTTCCACCTAGGTGGCAGGAGGAAAATGCTATTTTAACGGATCATATTAGGACACAGAAGTGAAAGATTAGCAGCCCCTGGGCTACTTCCTGTGGGCCGCTCCCCCAAACCCCAACAGCGAGAGGCAGACCAGAATTCAGGTTTGGGGTTTCGTGGCTGAATAACATTCCCTCGTGTGTACAGAACACAGTTTCTTTATCTGTTCGTCCACTGATGGGTGCTTTGGGCCGTTATGCACCTTGCTACACACGGAATATTATTCAGCCACAAAGAAGGACAGGTTCTTGTCATCTGCAGCCGTGCGATGGAGCAGGAGGGTGTGGAAAGAGCCTCACAGAAGCCACATGTAGGAGAATAAAGCTGAGCTCCGGAGACAGAGCAGAGGGACAGAGTGACAGTCACCTGAGGCTGGGAAGGGAAGCAGGGAGGAGGACAAAGAGGCCAGTCGATGGGTGAAAAATACTGTGAGGCAGGGGTGGCTCCTGTGGCTCAAAGGAGTAGGGCGCCAGCCCCAATTACCAGAGGTGACGGGTTCAAACCCAGCCCCGGCCAAAAAAAAAAAAAAAATACTGTGAGGCAGAAGCAGTGATACTTAGTGACGGGTGGCACAATGCGGCCAGTGTAACTCATAACAACTTACTATATATTTCAAAATAACTAGAAGAGTGGAAACAGAATATCTTAGCATAAATGATAACTGCTTGAGACCCCAACCACCCGAGTTGATCCTCACCCACTGTGAGCTTGTATCTAAACACCACACACACCCTGTAAGCATTATCATCTAACCCATAATAATTAAAGATTTACAAAGCAGTCTGGACGTGAGCACACCTGTAACAGGGAACTTGGGAGGGTGCACCCATCACACCTCTCAGCAGGGAGAGGCCAGAGTCTTCACGCCAGGCAGGGTGAGTGGGTCCCACAGCCAGGCCTTGGTGGCCTAATAAGTTGAAAAAACTCGGCAGATTTTAGGGTGTTTTCCTCAAAATTACAGACACAGGATTCTCACCTCTCTAACGACACAATGATGATACTCCAGAGTGACCCCGTTGAATCAGATAACACTTCCTGCTACGATTGGGCAAATGACTCCAGCCTTGGTGGGACCTGGGACTGTAGGTTTCCAGGGAGCTGAGGCAGGGCTCATGCCCTGGAGCTTTCCCAGGACAGGTGCAGAGGGCAGGGTCTGCCACTTGGATGTCACACTTTCTTAGGGGGAGCTGAGGCAGGGCTCATGCCCTGGAGCATTCCCAGGACAGGTGCAGAGGGCAGGGTCTGCCACTTGGACGTCACACTTTCTTAGGGGGAGCTGAGGATGGTGTTGGAGAAGCGTCCTGTCACCAGACTGATGATTTCAGTTCAAGGGAGTCTGACCCAGGCCGTTCCTATCCCCTCTAGTAAGAGAATTCCAGAAGCCTGATGACTCTTTGTGCCACAGTGGTAAACTCAGTACTCAGCTGGGCTCCAGGACACCCTGGATCAAGGTGCCACTCCTTAGCAACAGTGACCACAAAACCTAGAGCTGTCCTTAACGGCCATGTGCACTTGAGAGGTCATGTGGCAGCGTCCCCCGGAGAAGCTGCAGGAACTCCTAGTGTCTCCCAAAAGGAAACAAGGCCCCAAGTCAGGAATCCTCCTTCCGGAGGAGAGACTGGCACCAGGAGGAAGCACCCTGCCCCCTAGGGCAGCACTAGCCTCAAGGCCTCTTCCTTCCTGGCTGATGGCGAAGAGAATGGATCTTATTTGCCTCAGAGCAAGCCCAAGCCTCAGGGGCAGCCTCGAGACACCAGTCCCTTTATTCCACCTCATGCCACACCCCAGAGTCCCGAAGACACCCTGGTATCACCAGAACACAGCCGGTCGTGGGGACCAGTAAACCACTCAGTCACACAGTCCCCACAAACACGAAACTCTGAAATCTGAGCAACTGGACCAGTTACTACATCAAACGTCCGGCACTCACAATCACCCCTGCCTCCCCCCAAGGAACGACATTCAGACCAAATACAGATGAGGTTGATGCAGCCAGGTCCTCCTCCTGGACACTGCTGACATCTGTGCCAGGTAATTCTCTGGGTGGGGCCGTGCTGTCCCCGGCAGCACCTCTGGCCTCCACCCACCATGGCAGGAACAGTTCTCCCCTCCAACAACGGGATAATCAAAAAATGTCTCCAAACATGGGCGAGCGTCCCAGGGGTGAATCACTCCTCCCATCCCCGGCTGGCAGTCAGAGGCCTTGACTCTCTTCCCAGCCCTGCACAGCCAGTGGTTTCTTTAACTGTGAAGTTACAGAAATAACTTCTTTCCCTTCTCCGGCACCCTCAGAGCCCCATGAGGACTATAGCAGTCGCTGTAGGGACCTGGGTTCAGCCCACACCTGCCACAGTGCCAGAGACACTGGGAATGGCAGCAGGACGCCAACATCACAGGTTTTCTGGGGGGTCTGTGAACTACACGTCTCTGGTGACTTCAAAAACATTTTGCTAAGTATGATAGAGGAACCTCATCTGAGGATGCCCCCAGCCCACACAGCTTTTTACAGCCACATTCACCATGAGGAACTGCTGGGCGAGGGTCCAGCTTCTCTCTCCAGTCTAAGGCAAACTACACGGTGCACGCTCCACCCAAAAAAAGAGACAGAGGAGCCAGAGGATGCCAGCTCAGTTAGCACACGTGCTCTGAGCAGGGGGAGGGAAAGCAAACCTACCAACACCAGGTGCAGGTGAGGGCTGTCGTGTGCAAACCCAGGAGCAGGAGGAGGCGGGGGGCGGCCATGCACAGACGCTAATGTGCTCACCTGCATCAGTGAGCAAGGGCCAGCAGCCCGGGGATGGAAATTCACAGGGGTGAGCCGACCTTACAAAGATCCACATGGCAAATGATGGAAACAATGATGTGGAAATGCCCCAAATTCTAAAACTGCCCCCAAATCAATCAATAAAAGCAAAACCTACATAAGCACAGCTTAGACAGAGCCAAGCAAAACATGGAAAAAGCCTCTTTCTGGCAAATAATCATCAAATGCGCTATGCAGACCAGTGCGTGCACACCACCAGCACACGTTTTACAGACAGAGGAGCCCGTGCCAGCCCTCGGGCTCAGGTTTGCCAGCCCCGTGCCTGCATGGGGTTGCAGGGATTGGAGTGACGCTTGTCTGTGTGTGGCAGGGCATGGGCTCGGGGTCTGCAGAAACCACCTTGGCAGAAATTATCCCAACCTGTGACAATGACCGTCCCCTTAACACAGTCCGTGCCATGTCTTAGGATTGAGATATGTACACACAGATTGTACACAAATTTAGCACAGATCTCACCCTGTTCTGAGAGCTCAGGAGTGGGGAACAGTGGCGGCAACACCATCCTGGGAAACCGGCAGAGCAGATCGGGGGCCCAGGAAACAGATGTCAGCCTGAGAACACTGTGTGGGCACTCAGAGCCCAGCGTGGAGCCCCCACAGCACACAGAGAGCAGTCACGACAGCAAACAGCCAACAGAACCCACTGGATGTCGTGGAGAGAGTGCAGACTCCCGCCCCGCCTTCTACAAGCAATGCTGCCAGTGACGTAGGAGGAATTCGGTATTTTAAAAAATATATTCTCTTCTTCCCATTTTTTAAGCTATACTATATTTTAAATTTTTAATGTATTTTTTCTACTAATTTTTGAAATAAATAATGCATTGCACACAATGCTGGTGCCCTCTGTTCCAAGGCTGCCAGCCCTGAGTTTCTGGGACCCCAGCAGGGCCCGCCCCTTCATGCTCACAGTGTTCTCACTCAGAGCTGGTGCACGCGCCCTGCCAGGGAGGTGGTCTGGGTTTTACACTAATGATGAGATGCTCAAAGTGGCTGTTTCTGTACATTTTTCTTAATGTGTTTCTCAAAATCAACCTGTGCTGGGAGACACACTGCATGAGCAGGGGAGAGATACAGGCAGCACATCCATTCCAGATCACCAAGCCTGGCAGCCCAGATGGCCGTGTGGCTCCGTGTTGTCCCCTCCGTCCCCTCACTTGCTAGCACCAAACACACAGACCAGGCATCTGTGGCACCAGGGGACACAGGCTGCCGTGTAAGTGCCCCCAGCCTGGGCTGCCTGGGGACTGGGGGGACACATACTGCCCCACAGGGCCCCTGTCCCTGCCTGCCGCAGGAGATAGGGGACAGGAGCCTGGGACTGCAGGACCTGGGCGGGAGGTGGGGGGCAGAACCCAAGTCACAGCACAAGCACGGCAGCACTGACCTCATATATGAAGTACACCTTGGCCCCCACGTATATTCCCATGCGCACCACAGCGCGGACAGCAGCGTTCATACCTGTGGAGGGAATAGCACGACAGTTACTGAGGAGCCTGGGGACCTCTGGCTCTGCCACCAGTTCGCCAAGCCTGTTGGCAAACTGCATGACCTCCCAGCCTGTTTCCCACTATGAGAAATGGGCGCCAAGGACCTGGAGAAACTGCCGGGACAGGTTAGGTGCCGCATGCCGAGGGGCCCCCTAGGAGAGCTCGGGTGGTCTCAGTTCAGGGCAGCACTGCCCCCGTGCGGTATGGAGTGTGGTACGGAGTCATAGGCAGCTCCATCTGATCACAGAACAGCGCAGAGGGTGTGTGCTTTCTAATGGCCAAATTCTGCGTCTGTGATTTGAGAAGATGCAAATCGACTATTTTATCTACTAGTGCAAAAAAACAAAGAAACAAACAAAAAATACCCCTAGGCAACAAGCTTAAAATCACGTGATTTTATTAGAAGCAAAATTAAACTAAACTGGTGTCCTATACATGACCATGCCTGGTCAAGCTAAATCGAGGGCTTCTTCCGCACTTCACTTAAAATAAATTAAGAGCCATGTTACACAAAGCCTCCTCGTGCACAAAGGTCTGTGAGACTCAAATGTGCTGTCCACCGAAGCTCCTCCTGGGGAAGCTGAAAAGTTCATTTCCTTCTAGTTTTGTCTTTCCTTCTTAAATTTATTTTATTTCAGGATGTAATGAGGATATGTATGTTTCAGTTACAAACATGAACAGAAACTTTTCAAAAGAAGATTGGTCAGTGGCCAAGAAACACATGCATTCTCCAAGTCTCATCATCCGGGATGTGCAAATCAAAGCCAGCCTGGATCCCACCTCTCCAGTGAGAATGGCTGGTCCTGAGAAGTCCCAAAACAATGAATGTGGGTGAGGACGTGCAGAGAAAGGGACACTGTGTGCTGTTGGTGGGACTGCGACCTGCAAGCTGATTTGAGTAGCCACCAGCTCCCGGGCCACTGTGTAGGCCGGAAGGACTCTGTCTTGCGGTCTGGCTGGTGGGCAAGGCCCTCTGGGAGAGAAGTGAGAGGGCAAGAGGGGCGTGTCCAGGGCAGTTTCAGGGTCTTGCGCCCAACACTAGCTACTGTTCTCAGGACCAGTTCAGGTGTAGTAGGCTTAACACATTTCATTTTGGTAGCCTGATCAGGGAATCAAACAACCTTTCTAAGTATCTCTGTGGAAAAATGCAATCCTCCCCCCAAGCAAAACTTTTAATATTTGGAAAGGAACCTCTTCACACTTTGCAAAAATCTAAACCCCGGTCCTCAGGAAAGCTCTTATCCTGTTATAAAGGGTAAACTTTATAAACTTTCCCCAAAATAAACTTTGGGACAATCAGGGCAAGTTAAACAGGAGATATGTGACAACTACTCAAAGTGCAATAGAAAAGACAGGTGGCTAAACTCTTTTCTTCATTGAGCTGCTGTAAAATCACCTCTACAGCGAGGGGGAAGATGGTCACACAGCCCACACCTGGCCCAGCAACAACAGGCCATTTAAATTCTGATTTACCGGCTGCTCTGAGGCTCTCAGCTCACAAATCCTTCCTGAGGTCCTGTTCTGGTAAAATTTAAGTCAAGAATAACTTTTTAAAAAAAAAATAAACAAGGAACATGTTTACACTGACAAAATAATTTGGGTCCATCCTTCTACCTCCTACGCTGTCTGAAGGGTGTCAAACCTCCCCACTTCACCTGTCTCAACAGCATCAAGCCTTTCTCTGTACTTGTGACCACCCCATCACTAATTTCAGTATCTGCTTTCCCAATTGAAAAAGAGACTGAGGCTGTCCCCTTCTCTTGCGGGCTTATCAGAAAGTAGCGGTTGAACCCGCTCCCCTTACTCTTGCACTGGAGTCCTTCCCACACCTCCCTGCAGCGATCCACGGCTGGGAAGGTGAGAAGCAAAAGGGGAATTCTGTCCGGGTGCTGGCACCCCAGGTCCAGGTCCCCAGCCAGGCCCCTCTCTGGACTCCTGGGCCATCCAGGCCACAGTGTTTGGGTTGAGGTGAACTTGAAATATATCTGTAAGGGGGGGTCTTCACTCAACCACTGGTGCACCACACCATACGTGAGGACTGGGTCCACCCTGGGCCCAGCTCTGGGAGAGCACACATGAACAAAGCAGAAATAAGGCAAGCGCACAGGTCACACCCAGGGTAGAACACCCTGAATGCTAAGGAGAAAGTAACAGGTGGGCTGCCATGCCCATCCTGAGCTTGGGGTCACTCCCCTGAAGAGTGATGTCTTAGGCAGGAGGAAGGGGGAGGTTCACCAAACGTACTTTCGGAAAAAGCCGTCAGGCAGGCAGGGGCCTGAGGCAGGAGTGTGGCTGGACAGGCTGTGCTCCTGCAGCAGCTGTGTCAGCTGTCCCCTCAACATCGCTCCGAGCCTTCGCACAGACACTCACAGAGGGACCTTCTAAATATAGGCCGCAACATGCCAGCCACCGCTCTTCACCCACAGTGCCCCTCAGAGTAGCCACCAGCCACACATGTCCCTTCCAAATGGAGACCCGTCCAAATGGAGATGCACTGTGTCAATGCACACCGGATTTCACGGACTTAGTAGGGGAAAAAAAGAATGGAAAATATAATGTTAATAAATAATACAACAATTATGTATTAAAATAGGGGGTTAGGGCTGCGTGCAGTGGCTCACACCTGTAATCCCAGCACTCTGGGAGGATTGGAAGCAGATGGATCCCCTGAGCTCAGGAGTTGGAGACCAGCCTGAGCAAGAGTGAGACCCTGTCTCTAAAAAACAGCTGGGCATGGTGGCGGGCGCCTGTAGGCCCAGCAACTCGGGAGGTTAAGACAAGAGAATCACTTGAGCCAGGAGTTTGAGGTAGCTCTGACCCGTGACGCCACGGCACTCTACCAAGGGTGACAGAATAAGACTCTGTCTCCAAACAAATAAATAAATAAAAAATAAATAAAATTGTGGGTTAAATAAAATACATTTTTATGTGAATTTCACCTGTTGATTTTACCTTTTTAATGTGGCCTCTTTTAATAGATCATTTGAAACGATATATGTGATACGGGCTGCCAAGGTGAGCCTCACTCCTCCTGGACAGAATGGTCTATGAATCTGCTCTTTAAAAGTGTGCTGGACTCTTGAGCACACCTCACCCCAGCAATCAACACAAAACTCCTCATTAAACAGTAATAAAACTCGCTGTCAGGTGCTATGATGGAATTAATTTCCTGCTGATGGTTTTGTGTCTTCACCCATGTTTTGCTGTTACCAGCACTGCTATAAAGAATACCCTGTACCAGCCCACCTGCCTCTATCCTTGTGCACCTGCTATGTCTTCCTTCCTTCCACGATGGGTGGGCTCCTCCCTACCCCGTGCCCTGCCTCACTCCTTGGGGGTGCCTGTGGGCACTTGCTATCCTGCAGCCCCCAAACCCTCGATCTGAGGCCTGACCCTGTTCCTCAAGGGCCCCCTTACCAACTCCTCCCCACCTGCCACCCCTACCAGCTGGTAACCCCCACCTGGTTCACAGGTAAATCCAAAGTCCTCTCCTGCCTCCAGCTGCTCCTGCAATAGGCCAAAGGTCGGTGACTACAAGTTCTTCTTCCCAGCCCGGCTTCCTTCTCTGCTCTCTGCAGCCCCGATGGAAGGGGCATCACTGCACTGCCCACCACCTGCCTTGGCACCCGAGGGCTGTGCACATGCAGAAGGGTCACAGACATGGAAACAAAATGGTAATAATAATAAACCAGGTCTGAATAGAAGCTGCTATACACCACCCTCCTAAGCATTTTCTCTCCTCTCTGGGAAAGTTCTGATCAGATCACTTACACACACCTTTTTCAATAGAAGGTCCTATATTAATGAATCTTCTCAGTCAAAATTCAGGTCAAAGTGAGAAAACAATTGTGTGAGACCACTGGAAAGGGTTTGTCTTGAAGAAACCTGTGAGGAGCTGATTTGCCTGGTTTGCAGACTGCCTAAGGACCCCAGCTGGGTGTGGTATAAACCCCTAGGGCAGGGGTCCTCAAACTTTTTAAACAGGGGGCCAGTTCACTGTCCCTCAGACCGTTGGAGGGCCAGACTGCAGGCCCTGGGACGAGTCGCCTGCTAAGCAGGACAGGCAGCGGGCGGATAAATGTCCAAGGTGGACCGCATGTGGCCCGCGGGCCCTAGTTTGAGGACGCCTGCTCTAGGCACATCAAGAATGCAGGACAGGCTGACAGGCCCTGGACGGTCCTGTCTTTTCTCTCACTGGGGCCAGCTGTGGGGAAGAGAGGAGATATAGACTGAGGGACATAAGACTGAGGGGCGCCTTCATTCTGCAAAAGAAAACAGGAGAGCATCAGACCACTTGAGATAGCAAGGCCAGGAACCAGGACCTATAAATAAGCTGGAGCCTCTGTGCTCTGTTCCCCGGCTGCCTGGCTGCTGCTCACATCCTGACAGGCACAATGACTGTAATTCCGGGCAAGCTGCTGGGGTGGTAAGGCTGCGGAGGGCAGAGGAGCATGCACACTTTGGAAAAAACAAAAACACAAGACAAGACAGAGCTTGTTGAGAAGAGTAACTCACAAAGGGACTCGAGTCTTCCCTTGACAGCCAGCCTTTTGTCTGTATACACATGCACAGTTGCAACACCACCACAATCGTAGTAGATTTCCCGTTCAGAATCCTGGTGTTCACCATGACCTTGTTACTACTTTACCTTCATCTTTCTAATTTTAATCGCTTCCGACAGCCAGTCCGATTGGTAGAGCTCATTCAAATAGTTCTAATTCTCCCTGATAAAAGGTTGGGGTCATCCATGAGAAGCTTTAGTTTCCCTTAACCAAGGGAGAAAATACGTTTTGTTTTGTTTTGTTTTGAAAGATGACCAAGGGTCATACAAATATGTCACACAAAGCTAACTGCATTCATAGAAAATGGTGAAATTTCACCAGTCTCCCACTGTGCAGTGGGGTTATCCTCCTAACACACTGCCTTCTAAGGCACAATGATTTTTGCTAAATTATTACATTTTAAACTCTGGAGATCCTATTAAGGAAAGCAGTAGCAGAGCTGCAGGCTGGGGAGAGGCCTGGAGCTGGGTGGGACAGGATGCCCACTGTGTTCCCTGTCCCTCTGCATCGTACTGGCCTCTGAGGCCAGCAGAGTCCCATCCCTGACGGAGCCCATGAGAGACTCACTTAAGTCTTCAATAAATACAGCTGAGATGGAAGGAAAGAATTAACGTCTGGGTCAGGTCCTCTGTAACCTCACACTTCTTGATGATTTTAAAGTTCTAACGTGGAGGTATTAATAGCTCCTACATATTGCTCTGAGGATAAGACTCTGTTTGATTAGAATGACAGCTACAACTGCTAGCTACTGGCCACTTCAAAGGCAGAGACAGTCAACCCCTCTGAGCTCCACTGAGCCCTGCACAGGGAACACACAGGTGCCCACCGCTCCCAGGCCTGGCCTGATCACTCAGCTCTGTGAACTCGGGGAAGCCAGCTCATCTCGTGTAAAATGGGAACACAGCAGGACCCAGGAGCACTTAGTGGATGCCACATCACCCGAGATCGATAAATACCAGTTATTCCCATTATGACTGGAAAGACTTCTAAGTGCTCGATTTCCTTGGACTTTCTGTAAACATGGTATTGATGTTAATCTTGCCGTAGACAAAAAGGTCACAGCTTTCAGATCCAGCCCACCCTGAGGGTACATCCTCAGCACCGCCAGGCATCAGACCCTGCAGAAGTTGCACCCTGTGAGTAAGAAATGACTCATTTCTGGTGGGCGTGGGCGCTTAGTCATGGTAAGTCTGTCCACAAAGCCATGTGGAATTATTCCAGGTCAAACTGAAAATCAGTCTCAATTTGCAGATATTTCTAGTGACAAAAGAAAATATCCAAAGACTGAGAAAAAAGGAGTTAGCCTCAGATATGCTGGAGAGTGAAGAATACAGATGGGATGGGTGGCACCTGTGGCTCAAAGGAGTAAGGCACGGCCCCATATGCCGGAGGTGGTGGGTTCAAACCCAGCCCTGGCCAAAAACTGCAGAAAAAAAAAAAAGAAAAGAAGAAGAAGAAGAAGAATATAGATGGGAGACTTTGAGTTCTACTTTATAATGAAGTAATATAAATTTCACTGGGGTTAAAAAGGGCTCCATCCACTGGTGTCAAGGGTTACATCATTTTTGCTGCCTTGATTGCTATTACTGTAAAAAAGGCATTTTCTGTTTCACGACAAAGCCACTCAGAGATTATCTATATCATTTTGAGCAAGTTCAGCTTTGCTCACCTAGATCATACAGCTTATTGAACACAGCCCAGTGGATGGTACATCATTGGGATTAAGAGCTGACAGCCTTGGTTTAAATCCTGCCACCACCATGTGTGAGCCTCCCGACTTTACCCACGCGGCACCTCCCTGTGGGTCTCCCTCGCCTCCAAAATGCAGAAGCATGCATCCTGTATCCAGGCCAGGAGGTAAGAGTTGTATAGCTCCTTGTGCATAAAAGGTTCTCAACAAATAGTAGGCACGGCCATCTGAACATAGAATTTCATCATAATTTCATATCTGAAGAAAACTGAACTCATCTCCAGCAACAAGCCAAATTATTCTACCTCAGGAGAAATCAAGCACGGAAATACTTCAGAAACCACGGTAAACAGTGCGAGATTGGGGGGCAACAGATAACAACCGACTTCAAAAACCACGGTAAACAGTAGAAGATGGGGTGCAGTCGGTGACATCTGGGAAATGACCTGCTCGACGGTCTGCCCATCTGCTGCGGCCGAGACCAGGCTGGACGTGAGCTTGTCCAGACAGGAAGGCATCTGAAGCTCACACAGGCTCAGCACAGTACCCCTGGGGTAGGGCTGTTGACACGGAGCCAGTGGCTTCAGATACATCCAAGGAAGACCTCTCAGAAAACTGGCCAAGGTGGGCTTCCCAAGGACAGCCGGGAGGTGACCTTTGTGGGCCTCGCGGGTCCCACCTGCGGAGCTAAGCACAGCTGTCCTATTAACCAGGCTACCCCATCCCAGCCTCCTTCTCTCATAACACTGGTTTTCAAAGTATCCTTTTCCACGATAGAGTAGAGGACCCGCACTTACTGCCCCTCACAAGGGGCAGAGCCAGGATAAGAAAATGGGGCTGAGAAAATGGGGATTGTGCCAATGGCGCGATGATCTCACTGTACAGGAACTGCCAAGTACTTTAGCCACCGTCTGCAGAGAGCGCACAGCCTGACCCAGAAATACTGTATGCTTTCAACAGACTCAGTACCTTAACTCTAAAATAACCTTGACCCCCTGCCCTGCCAGCCCCGGCGGCCAGCGGAGGTCAGTTCCTCTAGTTCGCGCCTTCTCTTTCCAGGCCCAGGGCAGCATCCCCGAAGCGCTTCCCAACATCACAAGCCCTTTGGGACGTCACCCTGGGTCTCGCCCCGAACCCCATGGCGCCCTCTTCATCCACACACAACTTTGGGCAAGTTTAGGTAACGAAACGTGGGCCTCGTCACTTCTAGTGCACTTTCCTACTGTCCAGTCTCAGCCTTCGCTACGTCACATTTTCTTGCTCTGAGAAACCAGCTCTCCACGAGGAAAGCTTGTACTGAGACCCTGTTCCCAGACTGCGAACGCTAGAGTAATCCTGCTTCCCTCCAAGGAGGAAGGCGGGCCTGCCGCCTGGAGGCGCTGCCCAGCGAGGCGACCAGGGTCTCCCGGGGACCGCGCTGCTCTCAGTGGACCAGGCGTGCACCTGAGTCGGCCTAGGACGCAGGGGAGCGACGGGCTGCGCATCACGTAGGCGCCCGCGGCAGGCGGGGCGGCACCCAAAGCGCCCCAACCTGTCGCCCCCGCGCTGCCCCGCCCGCTCAAGGGCAAAGGGAAGGTCGCCCGCAGAGGGGGCAGAACTTAAGGCCAACGGGCCCATTCCTGGCCCATCCCTTTACAGTGTGTTGTCCCAAAATAGGAGGAAAGGAGCGACCACCGGGCCTGCCAACCCTTCTGGGACAGGGAGAAGAGATGAAAGTCAAAATCAACATCCAGCTGCGGGGACGCGTCTCCAGCCTTCCCGAAGTTCAAGGCTCCGAGGGTAATTGCCTGCGAAGCGCCGGCATCCCGTCCGGGGGTTGGCTCTGCCCTGACCAGAGACCTACACGGACCAGGAAACCCCACAGTCTGGGCGCTCAAGCGCCCCCACGTGCACTCAGGGATGCAGCCGACAAACCTTCCCTTCTAAATTTTAAATATTTTCTTAGCGTGTCCACGGGCCGCCCTTGGGCCCCCTCCTCGGGGAAATTAGCCTTGGCGTTGGAAGGGAAGGGGGAGCCAGGGGTCCACGCGAGCGCTAGTGACGTCCCGGAGGCTGGCGGGGAGGGCCTGCTGACCCATTTCAGTTTTCAGTTTTGTCACGAGCCGGAAGGCGACAGAAGGGAAGAGCGGAGGAAACCCTTTTTCAAACCTCCCAGTGAAACGTGCGGCGCTCTCGGGCCGCCGGTGCAACCCTGAGCGGGAACCCCGCGAACGCCCGGCCGCGCCCCGCAGTGCAGCGGCGAACCTGCTCGCGCCACCCAGGGGCCGCGAATCGGCGGGAGCGCGGGGCTGGGGGTACTCAGCCGTTTTTCCTACGACATTTCAGGGGCGGAGCGAGAAGACAGGGCCGGAGGCCTTGGAGCAGACGCCCGGCCCCTCCTAGGGCTCAGGTGCGGGACGACGTCCCGGCGCGCTCCAGGTGGCCCCGCTATGGGTCTGGATTTAAAAAATAAACGTGCAGGAGGAACATACCCTGATCTTATCGGTGCAGAATCCCACCGCCATGTGCCTTCCCCACACCACCCTGCCTCGACCCCTGCAGCCTTCCGCCCCCGCCTCTCCGCGTCGCCTCGCGCGGGTCTCTCAGTCCCCACCCTCCGCCGTCCCCCCTGCGGCCCGGGTCCGGAGGCGGGCGGACGCGCACCTTGGGCATCCCCGCCGCTGGTCAGCACGCCGATGGCTTTGCCGGCCCCAGAGAGGGGCTCCAGGATCTTCCGCAGGGAGCCCTTTCTCGAGGAGGGGACGTCGTCGTCCATGGCGAGCGTTCCGAGGATGCCGGCTCCCCGTGGTGCGCAGCAGGCAGTGAGAACCCGGCCCGCGCGCGCCCGACTCGGAACCGCCGCCCCGGTTGCGCCCCCGCCCGGCCCGGGCGCCAATGGGCGGCGGCGGGCGGGGCCGGTGAGTGCGGGCGGGGCCCGGCTGCGGGCACTCGGTCGGAGGAGCGGGGGCGGGGAAGGTAGTGCGGCAGGGGGGCGGAGCGCCGAGCTGGCGGGGCAATGGAGGTGGGGTTAGCGCCTCTCGCCGGGACTGTGGGAAGCATCGCTGATGGAGGTGCAAGTGGGCGGGACATGATTTGTTAGGGGGGGGCAGGTGGGTAGAACTGGGGAAGCACCGCAGGTAAGGAGAGAGGGAGGGGAAGGCTGCAGGTGAGGGGACTGAAATGGGGGACTTGCTGCCGGTGGGGGCGTAGAGGCGGCTAGCGCCTCAGGTGGGGGTGCAGGGAGCGTCGCTTGGGCACGCAGAGGGCGGGATTTCATCGATTGGGGTGGGGCGGACCGGGGTGCGCGCCGGCGAAGCGCAAGCAGGCAGAGACACCTCTTCCCTGGCGTGGCCGCTTTGGCAGTTGGGAACCCATCCACGGCGGAGGCGCGCGCCCCAATGGGAACAGGGTTCTTCCTAGCAGCCACGCTCTAAGCAGCGAGGGTGGGGATTTGGGTGGGGGAGGTGCCAGGGCGGCTTCCTGCTCCCCCCGCCCCGGTTTCCCCTGCGCCTGAGGTTGGGGAGGGAGGACGGAAGAGCAGATCCTTCAGCCGGGGCTGGGCGGGGTGTGGGGGGCGCGCGCCGCCGGCGGGGAGATCACTGAGCTTCCATGACCAGTGAGCTCCCCGGAGCTGGGGCAGAGGAGGCGGTGCGCGCGACCCTCGCAGGCCTCCTTGCGCCAGACCTGTGTGCTGGAGGAGCCGAGCCGGGCGGCGGGGGCACGGGGAGAGCTGGGCAGTGTTCTCTGAGGACCCCATCGTGCCTGAACTGTCAGCTGGACCTCTGGAGGCTCTGCTGGGAAACGCCAACTCCAATGTGCTGCGTGACTGATCGTGAACAGCTTGGTTTTCTCAGAGTTTGGGCTGGTTACCGTGCTGTGGTGGAGGGTGTATCCCCCACAAGTAGCATGATCACCCGGTCTCTGCAGTGGTCACCGGAGAAAGGAGACTAAGGGGCCCCGCCGGACGCTTCACGGGAGAGGACGGTGCAGGTCTGAGACCACTTCCTGCGCAGTCGGTGCTCGGTGAATAGAGGAAAGGCGATGAGAAGGCTTCTTCTGTTAACTGGAGAGTCTGCAAAAGCATCGCGCGGAAGCTACTAGGCTAACCGAGCGCGCGATTCTGTGCTGCGTGCGCGCCTCTTCCTCCAGCGCTGCTCTCTGATCATCAAACACTGATTACAAAAGAGAAAAAAATTCTGCCCTGTGTAAGACTGGATGGTCTGATCTGTAGCTGTCCACATGGAGCGTTCCCAGCCCAGGATGTGCTCAAAATCACCTGTAAGGCCCTCCCCCAACACTGAAGTCCAATTTCTGGGCGTGCAGCCAGGGAATATGTATTTTTAACAAGCCCCCTGGGTTATTCTGATGAGTCAGAGGCTGAGAGCAGCTGCTCTAATGGATTGAGCCTGTGCATTATTCTCCTAATAACAGGAGAATTTGGGATGTTGTGGCTGTGGCACGTGGTTGGCCTTCGCCATCCTAGGCGCCCAGCACTCCCCATGGGCGGCCCACTGCTCTGCTGAGTGGGAGAGAGTTTCTCCATCCTGCCTTGCTAGACCAGATACACTTAAATTTGGTGCCTGCAATTTTACTTTAGCCAAAGGCCCTTTATATTCTTATAAAATTAACTTTTTTTTTTTTGCAGTTTTTGGCCAGGGCTGGGTTTGAACCCACCACCTCTGGCATATGGGGCTGGCGCCCTACTCCTTTGAGCCACAGGCACCGCCCAAAATCAACATTTTTATGATTTAGAGGATTGGTTTATCTGTCATCAAATTGCCTGCAGCATAGAAAGTAATATAAGATAAAACCTAATAGTTTAAACATGACAATAAATGAAATGAATTATGAGTAAAAATATATCCTGCAATAATAGCTGATTCCTGTTGTAATTATGAAAATAAATATCTATTGACATGGCAGTTATGTTCAAAAGATTTCAATAAGTAAAAAGGCAGACTCAGAATCAGTGTGAACCTGTGTGTGTGTACACAAGGGTGAACCTGTGTGTATGTGCACAAGGGTGAACCTGTGTGTGTGTACATAAGTGTGAACCTGTGTGTGTGTACATAAGTGTGAACCTGTGTGTGTGTACATAAGGGTGAACCTCTGTGTGTGTACATAAGTGAACCTCTGTGTGTGGGAACCTCTGTGCACAAGGGTGAACCTCTGTATGTGTACTCAAGTATGAACCTGTGTGTATGTGCACAAGTGTGAACCTGTGTGTGTACACAAGTGTAAACCCGTGTGTATGTGCACAAGTGTGAACCTCTGTGTGTGTACACAGTGTGCATATAGAGATGAACATATCTAGGTATTTTTACTTCATATGGGTAATGTATTTTATTCTCCTACAAACAAGTATTGTTTAGTAAATAAATATAGTTAGATAAAGCACAGTAAGGTTTGGAGTTGTAAGACCCCCAAGGTCATGTATATTTTTCAATATTTTGTCTGCATACAAGGGTCATGGTTGAGGCAGGCAAATGATTATTCTCTCACTATTCTGACCTAATGCTCAATCAAGCTATGATTATATAATGATAGCTATTACGTTTCTTTTGCAATACATAATTTTAATAGTTTGTCAACTGGAAGTATTCTACCTTTGGCCTTACAAAAGAATCCTGTAATTCAAGAGGGAGAAATTCCATGCCACGTGGACTACACAGATTACATGTGTGTGCCTCCTAAAACCACCCCAAACTCATAAGGCTCGTACCGGCACGCACTTATCCCACAGGAGTGACTGTCCAGTGGGAAGGGGCCAGGCAGCTTTGCCGGTTGCCAGCACTGGGTCTCTCTGATGCTGTAACAAAGTGCTGGCCAGGCCTGAAGTATCTTCTGAAAGCCCCACGGGCGGACTGCTTCCTGGTCCCCTAGAGCATGGTGTTGATGGGATTTAGGCTCTGGCAGGCCTCAGTCCTCCACTGGTCTTGGCTGCAGGCTGCCCCTGCCCTTGGCAGGTGGCTGGGTCCCCCAGCTTTTGACAAGAGCAAGGGAGAGAGAGTGCCAGTGGACAGAACCCACAGCCCTTGGCAACCTGATCTTGGGAGGGACGTGCCGTGTCTTGAGTCTGAGTCTGTTCATTAGAGGTGAGCCACTGAACCCCATTTTCTCTTGTGGTCCAGACACAAACATGGGACAGAGGCTACGGGTTGGCCACGGTGAGGCTGCCTGGGACAAGGTGGGGTGGGACGTGAGTGGTGGGCATGTGCCCTTCACTCCTCCCTGCTGTGGTGAGCTCAGAGCACCCATGTGTCAGGAAAGGAGGACAGTGTGACACACAGTGAGCTGCACACATCAGAGCTGTGACCCTACTGCCCGCTCATCCCTTGACATCCCTCCCCCTCCCCATGGAAGTGGCCTGGCTGGCCCTGGGTCCTCCTCACCTGGGCTCCCAGACCCCATCCTCCCCCTGCTCAGGCTGAAGCCTCGGGGGTCCTGCTCCACCCTGGCCTCAAAATCCTTCAGCTCCCTGGTCTGGGCCACTCTCCATCATGGCCTTAGTCGTGCTGGATCCAAGTCACCTTCCCTGACCTGCCAAGCTCTGCACTGCCTCTGCCCACGGCACGCCTTGGATGTGCTGAGCCTAGAAGCCAGAGGAGCCCCTTGGGAGATAATCCAGGCCTCTCCCTCCTCTGTGGAGAGGAGTCCCATCACTGCCCCTCTGGTCCCACTGGCTCCTGACTGACCTTCCCAGGACCACCTCAGAGCCTCCAACCAGACCCTCCTCCTCCATCTCACCCACCCACTTCCTTGCAGTCTCCAGCAGACAGTCACATGATGGGGGCACTCCCCAAAGACCACCAGTTAGAAGCTGGACCTTCCACCCCCAGTCTCATCCTTTCCTCTCTTCTCCAGAGGCCCTGTCAACATCTCACATACAGGGCACTGCACCTGTCTGCTCTGTGTCCTGTAGGGTCTTCCGTGGGCTCCCAGTGCCACAAAACAGGATCTTTGTGTATATCATAATTCTACAGCCACAAGGCCCATGGTGGGGCCTGGCTCAGATAGAGTGCGTGTGTCCTGAGTACTGTGAATGAAGGTGTGAATGAGTGGAGGAGAGAGTGGGTGAGGAAGGTAGGGAGGGAGGGACTCAGTAGGTATCTTGCAGGAGGGAGAGCCGAGGTCCCCTCTGACCCCACGGGTGCAGCAGGATGGCCGAGCTCCCCTCTGACCCCGTGGGTGCAGTGGATGGACCTGCCCCTCACCCTCCTTCTGCTCACACTTGGTCAACGAATCCTGAAAGAATCAGATCGCACCAAAGTGGCAAATTCTTAGAAACAGCATGTTTTCTCAATATTTAAAATACTCAGGGCACTTTCTTACCTTGAAAACATCCACTGATTTTCCGACCTGGCATCTTCCACTCCCCCCCCCCCAGGTGCGGGGTCCTCCCGCATGGACATCTGTTAGCTCACACAGGACAATCCACAGCCACCGCGCTGTGTCAGCCTCCCACTCCAGCCTCGCCCCTTCCTGCTCCTGTCGTTCACGCTGGGCAAGTTGGCTGGAGGCCTGCAAAATCCCAACACATCAAATCTGGGTAAAATCTCCGTGCTTTAAAAGGCCATGGGGCAGTGGAGGAGCCCCTAGCTCCCTGCACCAGCCTCAGCTCCCCTGGGTGCAGACACCCCGTGAATCCAGGCCCTGAGTCCCTCCAGCCCATCCACCTGGCTGCCTTTGTTTACTCTGCAGCCCCGACTGCACAACCCCATCCCCGCTTCTCCAGCCCCCCTTGCCCCTGTCTCTCCTGCTTTGGAGATGGGACATTGACAGCTCTAGGGAAAGGAATCCACCTGCAGACAGGAGGCTGCTGTTGCCCTCAGCCCACACTGCTCCC